CGCGCGCGCCACGCCCCGCCACGCCCCCGGGACCCCATCGCTCTTATTCACGCAATGCCAAACAAAAACATTGTGATTCCCCCGTAATTGCCGGAGAGGATCCGGAGGTGAACACAACGAGGAAGAGGAAGAACTTTCGTGAAAAAGAAGAACAAGACTTTCTACGATGTGAATTTGATAGCACACATTATTTCAAAGTAATAACAAAAGTATTAAACTCCCTACGCATACCTTTCAAATCTAAAAATGCAATGTTACACAAATTCGGAGAAGGTTTTTTGTCAAATGTACTGTACATTCACAAAATAAACACATCTATTCCGCCTCCAACTCCCTCCTATTGGCACGGATCCCGTATGTATGTATGTATGTATGCATGCACGCTGAAGTGATTCCGACAATGGCTCGCCGAGGACCGCGACCCTCGCCCCCGTGCGCTCTGCGCGCCTATTACGCATTCTGAATCCTTTGCATTCTCTGCCGCTCGCTGCCCCGGCTCTGCTCCCGCTCTCCACCCCCACCTGCCGCAGCGGCACGAAGTCGCGCAACGCGGTCAGCATCAAACTTCCCTCCATGTGGCATCGATCTCTTACCTTTGTCGGAAGTACCAACCGGAACCCGGAAGTACCAGCTGCTGTTACGAGTAAAGTGTCGGTGGCGTCTCGTGTCTCTCTCGCGTTGAGGTCTCCAAGGTGACGTACGGTGGACGGCCCCGCGGAACAGTCAGGCGGACGCGTCGACGACTGAGGAAGTTGCCCGATAAAAGGGACAAGAAGAAATAGCACTGAGGAGGTGGCGTGGCGTAGCTCCGTCCCTAAACAAAGCAGGATATGAGCGACAGTCTAGCAGAGGTTAGGATGCGTGTCGTTAGATTTCAAGCAGTTTATAGGGGCCTATGCATCCAGCACCTTGGTACCACCTATACCAAAGCTTTTAACGACAGTTGAGTCATTATCATTGAGTGAAAATTGTACCAATGCAATATGTCCGTACACTAACCTAAACAACGACACCGGGACGGTTTAGAAGATTGTAAAAACTTACTTTTCCGAAGCCAAACTTTGCAGAAGCACTTTTTGACACAAGATTGTTACGCCGGTCTAGTATGGATCCAATTTTTCTTTAGAAATTCAACGAAACTTGATTTATGATCACACATCCACTCGCGATAAAACACAGTATGGTCGCCCGCGTTCTGCTTTGCTTAGGGACGGCGCTACGCCACGCCACCTCCTCAGCGCTACCTTCTTTTTGTTCCTCTTATCGGGCAACTTCCTCATACGGATTCAGGACGTCAGGCAACGACGACGACTGCTGATTGACACCACATTGACACGCTTGCATATTGCGTCAATGTTAGTTCAGTTTGCCTAATTTATGCGCAAAGTGAGATATTCTTGTGATCGATGGACGGTCTCTTTTATCTTCTTTCGACCCTTGTTGGGAAAGGTCAAGTAGTCAGGACAGCTCAGCTCAGTTCCGCGATGACGAGGGTTTTTGCTGCGTTTTGTTGATTTTTTTTTTTTGTAATCGGCCAGGGGGCGAATAATTGTGGAAGGGGAAAAGGATGGGGGAGGGGTGGGGAGGGGGTTCAGCCTACGGACCGGATGCATGTATTGATATGCGACGAGTTTGACCCCGAAAAGTGCTGCGTGCGCTGGAAACATCGAAAATGGACAGCTGCGCGTAGCATGCGGCGGGCCTGATCGAAGGGAACAATGCGTAAGATGGACAGGGATCGTTTCGGTGCACGCGCTTGTCCGCATGCCTTTTTACATTCTTATCCCTCGGAGCCTCGCCCTCCCTACAAAAGACTGTTACGGCATTTTCTTGCCAATTTCCTCATCTTTTAAGGACGTTATTCGTCCCGCGCATGTGAATGTGTGAGTGCATGGCTCGGCTTTCAGGAGTGATAACTTTTCATCAAACGGTCAGCTCCCGCGTCAGAGTGGGGAATTATTCAGCCGGTGATGTTCCCATATTGCAGTTCTGAACGAATAAAATGACGAAAGAAGGTACATTAGAACTACGTTATAAGTGAAACATTTCTTATAAACAGGCTTACACACAATTACGGGGGCTACTGCACCACCCCACCCCACGGCCCGGAGTGTCGATCGAGGTTCAGGAAACGGCTAAACAACTGCTTCAGTGGTAAACACAGCAGTTGGTATGGGATTATTTCAATCTCATCTCCCTTTCTTCTTCTCTCATAATCGGCTGTCGAAATGAAATGTTTTTCGTGCATATGCACACACACACACACACACTGGTGACATGGAGGGCCCTCCAGTAAGAGCCAGAGGCACAGCAGCGAGGGGCTCTTCACTTTCTTCGCTCGGACGCCATTCATTTGCGGCATTCTCAACGACCCTCACTCTCTCTCTCTCTCTCTCTCTCTCTCTCTCTCTCTCTCTCTCTCTCTCTCTCTCTCTCTCTCTCCCTCTCTCTCTCTCTCTCACTCCCTCTTTCTCTTTAACCCTTGATCTCCGTGCGTGCCTCCTCGCCCTCGCATCCCTCACGCCCGCCCCTCCTCCCCTCTGCCGCCCGCACCCGAGCGCGCTCTCGCACGGGACTGGCACGCGTCCAAAACGAAAGGAAGACAGAGAGAGAGAGAGAGCGAGAGGGAGAGAGAAAGAGAGAGAGAGACAGCTTTGAAGAAGGCTTGGAGTTGGAGGTTAAATCCATGCTTCTATGTTTTGAAAACCGTGCCTCTCTGCGGGCCGTGCCGTCCGTGCCAGCCGGGCGCCTGCCGTGTGCTGGTGAGTGTGTGTATGCAGATTTGCGTGGAGTGGCCGTCCTGGCCGCGCTGGTCTTCGGCCGGCGCGTGCTTACGTGCGTTTGTTTGTGTTTGGCGCGCGCTTTGAGGGATGGTCGGACAGACGGACGGGTACATGGACGGACGGATTAAAGGCGATATAAAACTGCGCGTATCAGATGAACCGCCAAACGAGGAAATTAAGACACCCCCCCTTGCTCGCGGAGAGCAGCCCGGCCCGAAAGAGCCATAAACATCACCGAGAAGAGACGCGGGTGTAAAAGTACAGTGTTTTCCTTGTTTCACGTGAACAAAAGTAGAAAAAGATAACGATATAACGAGCACCCCGATTTGAATATCTGCGGGAGAGTGGGAAAACATTTGTCTCCGCTAGCGCGTGCGGCGGCAGCGCCCTCGAGAGCGCCCCCATTCAAACAGACGCGTTGTGGAGTGCTTGAAAAGAGAAGGCTCGCCTGTGTAATGATTCGGAAGCGAAAGCTGGCGGCGTTTTACCACGAGCGGCCCATGACATTGCCTCTCGAGAGGTTCGATACTTCGGGAACGCGCAAGCTTCTTGAGAGGAAAAATACGCATACGACTGCCTAATTTTTATGGAGTTGTTGAAATCCCAATTTTTGAGGCCATGGCGCGCGCGTGGCCGTAATTGCCCCCGTCCTCTCCGTCCCGCCGTCGTCCCTAATGACATCCGCTGGAGCCTCCAGCTCGCCTCCAGCTCGCCTCCAGCTCGCCTCCAGCTCGCCTCCAGCTCGCCTCCAGCCAGCCACCTCCAGCCTGGAGGAGGGCGACCACAATGGGTGTCCAGTCCACGCGCGCCGCTGCTGCTGCGGCCGCCCCTCGAGCTCGCGCTCATTAAATGATACGAGGACAGGTTTAAAATGAACATAAATATATTTGCAAATACTTTACACGAATACCTAGAGATTAAAATAAAAACAAACAAAAATGTGCTGGCCCGCCACGGCGGGCCAGCACCAACTAATATATTTCACAATCAGATACTCTTTTCTTTTTAAATGCATAAATTAATGACATGTTAGGAGAGGTATCATGACGACGTGCATGGGGACGAGTCTGATGTAACAGTACAGGGAAATCTTAACACAACACGGAGAGAAAAGTATCCTTGATCGAGAGAAAAAACTTAACAAACATGCAGTAGTACATAATCAATCATAACTCTATATATTTCATATTTTTCCTAAAGATGGTAAAGTATAACCTGAGCTGAAGTGCACTAAACCCGTGTACACACCACAAAGTCGTTTTGGTTGTGAAGATTTGAGACTACTCGGGTAATCACATTTGTACAAAAGGTTTTAAATTACTTATATTGTTTACAATGTTTCATTGTAAGATCTTGACGGAACACAGAACAAACATACTAACTGAAATTTTGGACAAAATTTGTTGAAAGAGAATTATAAAAGACGTAACACTGTACATTTTTAACACGAAACAGGTTTTGTAGTTCTCATAACGTTTCGGCTTTTTATCAGTCGAAACACACAAATTACAAGTATTGCTTATCACGTTACACACATATATAGATGCCTTCTTGCAGAGCACACCTAACTCATCGCTCACAACGCTACTGTTTCTATTGCATGGAGAAATGAAAGAGAGTTCTCCACCGAGGATGTGTGACGCCGGTCCAGGTCCAGGTCAGGTGTAACTTTTGACCCCGCCGTTTAGGCAAAACGAATTGACACGGTAACTCAATATGCTTATAAATATTCACAGCATGCTTATTATTTGACGTTCACGAAAGCAAGTAGTGTTGTCCCCACTCAGGTGACCGACCGAACAAACAAAGATGATGGATCACGCTGAGCGACGTCTCGGGGACACCTTCCACACGCCTCGGCGCACGGCGCACGTCGAGGAGCGTTGTGGAGGCCGTGAACAACCCCCCCGCGGTACGTCGGGGAGGGTACGCAACGCAGTCCGCACAGTCTTTGGTTGCTGCTCGCTACATGTAGGGGTGGGGCCAGTCCCCGGGGGCCGGGGCCAGGCCCGGGGCCAGGCCCGGGGCCAGGGCCGCGCCGGGGGCGGCGGGCGCGCCGTCCGGGGCCGAGCTGGAGGCCTGCGGGCCCGTGTGCGGGGCCCCCCAGGGGTGCTACGCGCGGTACTGCATGGGCAGGTGGGGGTGCGGGCCGGTGGGCGCGCCCGCCGCGTGCCCGTGGCCCGCCAGCCCGTGCCGCTGCGCCACGTGGCCGGCGTGCGCGTGCGCGTGGGCGTGCCGCACGTCCAGCTCCGTGTCGAGGCGCTCCTGCTGCTGCCGGTAGGCGCGCTGCTTCTCGTCGAAGTCGCGCAGCCTCTGGTTGTACCGCTCGATCTGGTCCCGCAGCATGGCGTCCTCGATCTGTGCATAAAGAGGACCCGTTGACATCACCCCGTCTGATTCAGACCGAAACCTCGCCGATGTGTCGAGAATGTTACTCACCGCCGCGGCCTTCTCGTCGAACTCCAGGCAGCCGATGCCCTCGAGGCGGTCCAGGTCCATCCAGCCTCGCCACCGCACGCACACGCCGTTCATGATAAAGTGCGACCGGAGGTGGACCTGCGACAGAACCAAAACAAAACAAGAAAATTAACTTCTTTTCGAAATAATCAAGAAGACTGCAGAGGACTGTGATCATGCCAGTTGGCGATATCGCAAAGGGCGAGTCAATGGCTGCCGCCCACCCCGCCCCGCCCCGCCCCGCCCCGCCCTACAAATTGCCTGCAAACAAACCTGGCCCGGCTGCTCGTAATTACAAGCACAATGCGGGCCTGATAGAGAGGCGGGCAGGGCGGCCTGGTCAGCGCCGCCCCCGCCCCCGTGCCGCCCCCGTGCCGCCCCCGTGCCGTATAGGCAGCCCGGCGCACGGCCGGGTAATGGACGAGGTCGACAAAAGTCAGTCGTATAATTGTGTGTGTAAACAGCGTGAGCAGAGAGTGCAGCGTCGGTGATCGGCGGAGGACGGGGGGTGGATTCCTCTCTTTGGGTTTGGCCGGGCCAGCAGTCCAGCGTCTCTCTTTTGTCGAACACTGCCCGCTCTCGCATTGTCGAGCAGGACGCTATCGCTCTCGTAGAGGAGAAGCGATATACGACATCAATCAGCACATTGTCATCGCGAGCGGGTACGGATGGAGGGGAGGGGAGGGGACCGCCTGTTTGGAGGGTGACAACTAACTTTTCCGAAAAGGCAACAAAGTATGGAGCCCGAATGAGAAAGAGAGAGACAGACTGACTGATATAGGGGGTGACAGAAGGCATTGTTGCGCAACTGGGAGGACACAGATGACCGGAGAGGGGGTAGGTCGAGGGTAGGTCGCATAGCAGTGAGACGAACTGGAAAGGGGCGTTACCTTTTTTTCCAAGCGACTGTTTTCATCGTTTAAACGGTACATTATTTTTTTCCCTCCGCCTTCTATGGCAAGAAGGTAACTTTTATTGCAGCTCGTCGCCTGCCGCTCCATTCTGGCGCATTCCGTTTGGAGAGAAAGAGAGCGAGAGGGGGGACGGGGCGAGCAGACCGACCCGTGCGCCGTGTGCGTCCCTCACGGGGGAAAAGAAAATAAACACAGCCAGGGGGGGGGGGGGTATTCAATGAGAAGCGTCCGCTCATTTACATCGTCCAAGAAGTGGAGGTTGGGTAGAAATATATGACGGTCGGGCGCGGATGGCTTTTGGCCTTTCGACTGGCCACTGACCCGGCACGTCGAAAAAAAAAACGACCAAAAAAAGAGCCAAAATCGGAGCTTTCCATTCTCACTGGCACGCCGTCATAATCTACACAATGACCCCTAACCCCCTACAATCTTCCCTCTCTTTTCCATGCGTGGAACAGAACAAACGAGAGTTCAAACTCACCCGGGTGCAACCCACTTGTGAGCGGTACACATAGGCATACGAAATAAAACAAGCATCGACGCAAAAGAAATCAAATACACTTGTTTTTAAAGGATAAATATTTGCCGATAAATCTGATGCGCGACGATGCGCGTTTGTATGCGATCCTCCTAAACATAATCAAGGAGGACCGGGAGGGGGGGCTGTGTACACACGGGACAGAGGGATTATAAATTATAAGGAGTCGCCCCTTTGTGCAACACGACGATGGCAAAGCGAGGACAGGTAGGCACTTCACCCCCAGGAGGACGAGCAGGGCCGCGCCGGGCCGGGGGCACCGCGGCAGACACCCCTCTCCAGGGGGGTGGGGGAGGAATACGAGGGAGAATGCGTGCCCTTAGGGGGCGACACATCCTCCACCTCCAGCCGCCCCGCCCCGCCCGACCTGCTGGCTGTCTCGTCCACGAAAATATGCCTTTATTGGCAGGAACGGCAACGGCCCATCGGAGGGGAGGACGAGAAGAAGCGAGAGAGTGGTATTGATATGACAGTAATCTCCCCGTATATGCTCGCATGGGGCGGGGGGAGGAGGCTCTCGTCGGACCGGGTCGTGAATGGCAAGAGGCCAATCGGCGGAAGTAGGAACAGAAAGGAGGGGGAGGGGGCAGGGCTCCTGCTCCTTCAGCGCGATCGCTATGGGTTGCGAGGCGGCGAGAGGCGCGCTCGCGTGTCGCGGGCCGGCATTGCGCCGACCATCACAGTCACCCTGCTGGCGCCTTGGGTTCGGATCGCCCCGTCCGGGTAGGCAACCTGCACACACACACGCATGCGGTACAGTGTTCCATGCCGGGCGAGGGGTTCCAACCGGTCCAGGAGGCGCGCTGCAGCAGACTTCCGTGAAGGTGAGGAGGCTCCGGTCCGGCTCAGGGCTCAGCTGCCCCGGTCAGGGCGGGGCGGCCGGCGGGGCATCTGGCTGCGACGACACCAATAAATAACAGATGTGACGCACCGGGCGGGGCCGGACGCTACTCCACCAGGCTGGCAGCCCCCCAGCAGACGGTCACCACCCCCGGGGCGGGGCTGCTGGGGGCGTTTCGCCGAAAACCAACTAGGTTCGGTTTCCTGGACCAAAAGAGCAATCTCCCTACCCCCTACCGTCCTGCAACCCGGATGGGAAGCTCGACCGAGATCACCAAGCGCCTGGTGAGCTCATGGGTGGCCGTCAGCGTCACCTCCGCGGGTTGACGTTGTCACCAGAAGAGGAGTTGCCCCGACGACGACGTTGACGGTGAGAACGACCAGGTCAGGATTAACCCCACATATCCGCGACCAGCGAGGGGGGGGGGGGGGCCTTCCCTCCTCCCCACCCCACCTCCTCTCCCACCGCCTTGGCCACTTCACAGTGGGGGGGGGGGGGAGCCGCGCCGCCACGCCTTTTTATTTCATTATTATGATTTCTGTTGCAACCCGGCGAGCGGCCCGGCCGGGGCGGCTAAAACAAAAGGACAGCTCGCTGATGACGTTTGTAATCCCCGGGTCCGGGCGGGTCACCCTCGGGGTCACCGGGTCACTCCCAGGCGAGCTGCCGCCGCCGAGGGTCAGCCGGTGATAAATGCGACTGTATTTGTTTTTAACGTTTGCGCTGCTGTCGTTACACGGGTCGTGACGGAGGGGGTTAGAGGGGGGGGGGGTGACAAACCCGTCCTGGTCGCGCCGGACACGGCCCGCTAAATGTCGCTAATTAATGGGAGGTCCATTGAGCGGGGGGCGTGGCGGGGCGGGGCGGGGCGGGGCGCAAGCCATGGGCGCGCATTGTCCAAGGCGGTGTGTGTGCTGGTGTTGCTGCGTAATGGTGGGCGTGACACTCACACACACACAGACACGCACACACACACACAGACACGCACACGTAACCCCTAAGCGCAAACGGCCATACGGCCGAGCAGGGGATTGGGAAATGAAATGAGATTCAAAAGTCCATTTAAAATCCAATCCCGGTCTGTGGCGCCCCGGCGCTCTGCTGCGCTGCGCTGCGCCGCGCCCCCCACCGCCGCAACCCCGATGTGGGGCCCAGCCCATTGACCAGCTTCCCAACGAGGAGTGGAGCAGCGCATACGGCAGCCAGTTCACACAGCAAACGTAATGAGAGAAAACATTACCCCCTCCTGCCCCTCGCCTCACCTTCCACACGGAGGGTCAGTTAGGAGGGAAGAAGAGGGGGAGCGCCCAAGCTCAAGCCTTTTATCCACCTGTGAAATGACTTCCAATTGGTGCCTTACAGCGTGCGCTCGGGAGATTGAAAACGGGCGACTGCGGCCGAAGCTGCGGCGGCGCTGTGCCCGGGCTCCTCCTTGGCAGCCGCATCGTTTTCCTTGCTGCCGACACGTATAAAAGCGCAGCACAAGAAAAGCCTCCTCCGTGGGAAGGAGCCATACACCATACACTCTGGGGCTGCGGAAGCCAACGTGTGAACAGCAGGGCACACTGGTTGCCGGTCAGCCTGATGCACTCCGCCCTCCCTGCACTGCATGCTGCCGCAGCCCGGGGCCGGCCTTGCGGGGCCGACGCGACGGACGTGCGGTTACAGGACACGCCGCAGGTCGAGATGCGGGCCCGGCTCAAGCCCTGCGCCTTGCGACCCACACCGCAAGGGCGTGAAGAGGGGCGACGGCGGACAGCAACACCTCCAGATTTTATAGGTGCGCTATTAATTTTTCCGATTCCCACACCTGGCAGAGTTCGCGGTCGACTCAAAAGTGCAGGCGCAACTCCTTTTGTTTTGTTTTCTGAGAGAGAGAATTAAAGAGCAATATACGGTGGTCGCCTGTAACCGGCAGATACGTTTGCTTCACGTTCTCGACTGCCACTAAGGACCTCCGCGTCAACTACACGAGCTTCCCCTTCCTTTCCATTTTCCCTCAAAGATATCTAACTCGGCGCGACAACGCCGTTGGTTCCCTCCGGTTCCCTCTTGCAGTGTAGCAGCCGCAGGTCGGGCCGGCGCGGCGACGTGATTCCATCTCGCAGGTAGCGGCTCGCCAATGATTGCTTCAAAACCCACCTGTAATTTTCTTTCCCCCCCATTACGCCCTCCTCAATCCTCTTCTTGTTTTATATCAAAACCCACCGCGCGTTGGCAGGCCTGGGGCAGGGCGTGGCGGGGGTGTCTCCGCACCTTCAAGTTTGCCCACGGGGAGAACTATGGGAAAGGAACACATGGAATGAGAACCTGGCGCAGCGCCGGGCGGCTGTCCACCTCTAAAGCGGCCCAAAGTCTGTTGTGGTGTTACTGTTCGCCCCCGGTGCTCCCGGTGCCCTCGACGGCCTACCTCGCCGCCGCTAAACTAGGTTTCCATTTTTGGAATCGGAAAAGTGGATGAGCGCGTATACGACCCGTGGTTTGGCCGCCGTCTCGTCTGCCCAGGTTGCGGGACGGGGCGGGGAGTGGCGGGGCGGGCCGACTTCGAATTCCGAATGACCGGGCGAACGGCGCAATCCCCTAAAAAGGTGTTCATATGGGGGGCACAACGTGGCGGGGCGGGGCGTGGCAGGGCGTGGCGGGGCGTGGCAGGGAGCGCTGCTGCCCGGGCGTGCTGCTGACGGTATGATATCGAGAAAACAGGATGTCGACTCGACTTGGTACGAAGCATGTAATTTGTTAGTAGCTGCGGTTAGGCCCCGGCGCAGCATAACGCCTTGTTACCAGCGGCAGTGGCAGCGAGAGG